AAAGTTCCGAGACGTGAGCACGCGCGTGAGGTTCCAGAGTTCTAGGGCCTTTGATATTAGTCCATCTGCGCTTGACGATGCAACGCTCTTGGCGGTCTGTACAGTCATCCTCATGAAGTTCGAGTCTTCGGTATCGGCAAAGTGGCCACCCATCTTCTTGATGTAGTGGTCTAGCTTCCCACTGACATCGTCATCACTGTCTATGAGTTCGAGATCCGGAGTAGCTAGTCCGGCGAAGATCGCAGGATCGATGTCCGCGTTTTGCGCTGTCTGCGTCTGCTGACATTTCAGCGGCGTGAAAGTAGCAAAGATACCGGAATGAGGGAAGTGGGTTGCTTCTATGCGCCCCGGGGTCTGGTCGAGCCGTATCTGGCCCTTGGCTTGATTTGTTGCATGGAATGCTAACACGCTATGAAGACCTGCAGAGTAGAGACCGAACTCCTCTGCAATCCTTGTCCTGATACATGGCTGCTTCCATAATCGCGCACTCTCGACGTTCTGGCAGGTGTTGCATGGGTTATCGCCCGAACATGGCTTTTTGAGCATGCGACACCGAATGCACGCGCCTCGCTTGCGCACCTCCTGTACTTCTTTCCGTCTGGAGTCTGTGAAACGTCCCCTGACCTTGGGCTTAGCCGGCTTCTGGTTCATGCTGAAGTCGGTGGTGAAGTGGGTCTGGTTGCCTGGACTCATTGCAAGTGGTCGTTGATGGCTCATTCCCTTATTTGACTGGTCGTTCGCGTGCATCTGCTCCTTGCCATGGTCTTGTAGCATCGGGTCCAGTGAGTTGGGCTGTATGTTCGGCCAATGTCCTCGTCCTTGGGAATGGAAGAACTTGCCGTCTGACATACCCTGCATACCGTGCGCTGAGAGATTCATGTCCGACTCCATAGCCATACCATTTGACAGAGGCATGAGGTCATTCGCTGCTGACGCTGCCATGACGAGCGACGGAACCATGTGCGACATCGATCCAGAGCTTGACAGAGGCATATGACCCATGTGTGGTGAGGCACTTGGAGAGTGATGCAACGACCCATTGAACTGGTACATGGAGGGCATTGCTGGCGCATGCGACATGTCCATCCCATGTGAGAGGCCGCCCATATCAGAGCCATCGGGCCGGTCATCCTGTATCAGAAACTCTTCCAAAAGCCCTGCATGGCTCGCATTGTTGTTGTTGTGGTTGTGGTTGCCATGGTTGTTATGGGCCTGCGACGGCTGCTTCTCTGCCATGCGCTTCCCAGAGAGGTCCAGATGTTGTCGCGACACCTCCGCCAGCGTCTCAAGCGCAGACAGCTGCTTCGACGGCGCAAAAGGAAGGTTCATCTTCTGGCCATGCTGCATTTGGCTCGGTCCGGGTGCGTTGGTGGTGGCCGTCTGCGCCATATTGTCGGGGAGTGGCAGCTCGTGCATCTGCAACAGCGCGCGCTGGCGGTCTTGAAGCGGTAAAGCGGGACATTTCTTGACGAGATGGTTCGTGAGACTGTCTATGCGACCTTTGGGAAACTGCCATGTGTAAGCTATTATTGCTCACTCTACACCGTCAACTTTTTTGCGGAGCGGGGTCACTCACCTTTTCGCCGCACGACTTGCACGTGTGCTGGTAGCGGTTGCTTGCATCTTCCAGCTTAGGCCCGCGCTCGAAGTACTCGAGAATCAGCTGGTTGGGTCGACGACCCATGATGGGCCCAAAAGTTGCGTTCAATTGTGTGGTGGGTGACGAAAGATTACTGCCGGAAGTATTTGGCGGTCAGTAGCCGGCGGTCCAAGAAAGCTGAGGTCTGCTATGGTTGGTCGGTCCGTTAGCCCTCATCTGACATCATAACCCATCTTTCACTCGAGCTTCGTATCTATGTTCACTGCGCCAGCGCTATACCTAGATGCCTGGAATTAATCATTGGCTATCATTTTCACGTATCTGAACGATGCGTCGATGGTTGAGTGCTGACAGCGTCTAGCTCGCGCATCTTCAGCAGGAGACCACACGTCACAAGCCGCAAACTCACTAAGCCAACGAGATGAATAGAGCGCAGGTGCATAGACACACATGATGCATCACTGCGTGTCAGGTTTCGGCCTCGAAAGATCATGGACGCGTTCCTGACTAGAGACGCGACTAACCAGGATGCAACGCGCCCTGCATGCTTATACATATGGAGCGAGTCAGGAGAGGTCGACACATCCATCCGATCTAAGATCAGCTAGGCTTTTGTCATGACCGCATGATCAAAAAGGCGATTTCGCTCCCTTGGTCTTTCTTTTTTGGGTAACGAAATCATGACGTCCGCACTAGTCACGCCAAGTCAAGTAGACTGGAATTGATATGGACTACGACATGGACATATCCGGATACATGCAAACAAACTCCTAATCCACATCTACGCCCAAGACCTCCCATCCGCCCTATGCAAACAACTTTCTGAACTATCAAAATGCCGACAACAAAATCCCCAGCCGCAAACCCAACCATCACACCCGACCCGTCTCAGAACGGCTCCACGATCCGCAAAGCCTTTCTCCTCGAAGCCTTCGCCAATCTCTTCACCATCCCGCTGATAACAAACACGCGCTGGACGCTCTCCCTGCTCCTCAACAACCCCTCCCGTGATATCAATCCTACTTCAGTCCTGTTTGCTCGTCTGTGCGGAGGCCTGATTGTGGGCGGTCTAACATCCGCGTTACTCGCCGGCGCGACCAATACGCGCAATGGAATCGAGAGCCGACGACCTACGTATATGCTCTTGGGGCTAGGAGAGGCGGCTTTGATCCCAATGATCGTCTTGGATCTGTTGGAGGGAGGGGGGCCGGGTGCGGCACTCAGTAAGAAGGTCGCTGCGGTCAGTGTGGCGTGTTTGGTGCCGCCGCTTTTGTGGAGGTTATACGTGCTTTTTGTGAGGCCGGATCTGCTTGGTCGGTACACGGAAAAGAAGACGGATGACGGTGGTGCGAGGAGGAGTGACGGATGTAAGTATTGTGTGCGGAATGGGCGAAAGTGTACCGCTGATTTGATCTAGATGGTGCTATTAATACCCGGGAGAACTGAGACGATGGGGAAGCTGAGATAATCCACGGAACTGGATCAAATTCCTTACAATGCTCGTTTGAAGTTCGGTGTCTTGTAGATTGCGTTCCGAATTATAATACTTTTCCATGCCCTATGTGCAGGACAAATCTCCCATAAACGCCTCGCTGAAATCATATGCAATGTGTCTCTCAGACCTTCAGATGGTATAGTGCTTAGTCTGCGAAGCCTCCCCACTCCGCCTCGGAATCTTCGTCCTCCTCAGCCTCTTCTGTCATCTCCACTTCCTGCCCCCTCCAAGCTCTTAACCTATCATCAGCCAAAACCTCTTTCGCGGCATTCCTCAGCGTCTTCAACTTGCCCTCCTTGGCCATCCGCTCGATAGGCAACACTAATGTCTCCACCGTCTCCTTCTTATCCTCCTTCTCCCACGCCTCTCCCTCAACCTTCTCCATCTCATCGACGTAAACATCCATGACGTGGTATCTCAGCCCATTGGGGATCCTCATGTTCTCGCACTCAAGCGGTGTTTCTTCCACAACGGCATTCCATTGTTCCACCAAGCTCTTCTTCCATTTGTTTCTGCTGAGGAAGGTGAAGGACGCGTTGACGTATTGGCGGATGAGGTAGAGGTACTTGTCTAGTCGGAGGGCTTCGATGCGGGTCCATTCGCGGGACATGGTGAGGAAGAAGGCGCGGATGAAGGGGAGTACGACAGGGGTTCGGAGAGCTGAGACGAGGGAGGCAAGGTCGCGCGATAGGCCTTGCTGAAGGGCGGGTTTGTCTTGCATCCATAGGCCTGAAGGTTCTTGTCAGCCTTTGCGATGTGGACTGTGAAGTGCCTTGTCGTGCTGCTTTAGGTTAAGGCACGAAGAGCGCGTACAGTAGAATAGACCCTTCCATAGCTTCAGCAAGTCTAGTTCTGATATCTCTGATTGCGCGCCCAGGTATGTCTTGAGTGAATCGAGTGCATTGTCGCGAACTTTCTTGTCTGTCGCAAACGTTAGTCTCGGGAGCGAAAACCTCTGACGCATGTTGTGCTCATACCGCTGGAAGCAAGGTTCCTTATGAAGGGGTTATTTTGCGCGTCTGATGCCATGATGTGCTGTGTTGTGTCGCGACGATGTCTTCGCTCTGAGGCCTGACATGCGGGCCGAACTTTTTTTGGAGGGCTCATGGATGCCGCTAAGATAGCGATAAGGCACCATGGCTGCGCCACATGCTAATTAGCGCACATTGGAGCACTTGAGGGGACACGCGCAATTTAGGCACCACAAGTCACTGTCCTGCGCGTCCTGTTGTTAGAATCATGCTCGAAGAGGCTTTCTGTGCTGGCTTTAGGGTTTGCGTTCTGAAGCACGTTACGGCTAGAGATACTGCCTAAGAGACCTGTCCCAGGATTCTGCCGACTTCGACGCGTTGCACATAATGCGGCATCTAAACGCTTTCTCTTGCAGAACCTTTTGCAAGGCTCTTGAAATATCTAGAAAGAACTGTAGATCTATACATCTATTCCTTAGGTAGTAAAGTGCTAGCTAGCTAGATTAAAACCTTAGAAGCTCTAAAGCAAGCTAGTACAGACTAAGTAAAACGTGCTAACTAGATTGTCTGTGCGCATGCTTACTAAGCATAGCTCGCTGTTAGTTACAGTCACGCACTAATTCTAGCAGCTAGGTGCCTAACTTCACTTTCCTAACAGCGTAAAGGCAGAACATCTAGCAAAAACAATCTACGTTAGTAATCTCTTCTACGTACTAGTATTGCTAGAATCTAGTACTGCCGACTAGTCTCCCGTCTTCTAGCCTTATAGGTATGTAACCTGTTTGTTACTTACGCGGCGGCGCAGCCTACCTAGTTATCTAGTAACGCGGCACTTGTTCTCTACACAGCTCGAATCTATCGCAAATAATCCTGAACATGCCGGGCAAGCCGAGAGAGAAGGCTAACGCGATGCAGTCGCAGAGGGATGCCATCCATGGTCGTAATCCCGGCCAACGGACACGAGAGGCGCCGTGTCCTAGTAGACCGCGTAAGTACATTCCAAACCTCGGTCGCACGCGTTCTAATACCAAAACTATCTTTAGGTGCACTCCATCGTGTCAAATCGCGTTCAGAACGGTGTTAGTACCCCTTCACCCTATGTGGTCCGTGCGCGGTGCTGATATCAGGGTCTAGGACGAGCAATATCTGGTACGCTGGACAGCGGACACGTCGACCTCGAAACCGCCGCTCAGCTGGCACTCAGTTAAGGACTTAGTGCGATGCCTAGAGCAGATCCAGGACTACCTCGAAGTGAGGGAGAAGTAAGCGGCATCTCAGTACTAGCTTTTGACATGTTACTAACCTATCTAGGAACCTACCGCTACCTTCAGACACAAAACCTTCGAGGAAAAGAAAGAGTCCTGATGGGGGTTCATCGTACGAACGCCGCTCTTCACCATTCGATCGACGACTACAAGAGAGTCGTACGCCGTCAGCCTCTCGATCTTCATCCGTGTCATCTGCAGCAACAGTCACGTCTCCAGCCAGTGACATTTACAACGGCGTTTTGGATGCTGATCAATATGGCCATGTCTTCTGTAGACAAGTGAGTCTTTACGCCCAGGTTCCCTTCGGGTTCTTCACTGACATGCGACAGGCAGCAGGTCATGACATACCCGAACTTGACATTCGTAGCGTGCCCACGCCGGAGATGAACCGCATTGCGCATCGTTCGGGTGTAGACAAAGCACTTATGTACATCCGCAATGAATATGTCCGGAGACTAGCGAAAGTACCAGGCAAACCCATTCACTTGTTCAATGTGGTCGACAAAGCCACTCCCTCACTGCGCTTCCGGTACATCTCCGAATATGTCCTAGATGAGCAACAAGGTGTCTACCGCGCGTCACTAGAAACACAGCAAGGCTGCCAACAGTGTTCACCCCACATGGGTCGTGGTATCGGATGCGAATACACAAAGAAGTGTGACTGTCTGGAATACGCTGCAGTGGATGAGAACCGCCTCGATGAAGAAAGAAAGCGGGAATACCAACTTGCGCTCGAAAACGGAGATTCAACAATGGGCTTTCCGAAGAAATTCCCTTACTTCGCCGAAGGCACGAAACGAGAGAAGACCGGCTGTCTCGTACCCTTTTACCTCAACTCCCGTCGTCCAATCTACGAGTGCAATGATAAGTGCAACTGCGGCCCTAATTGTCGCAACAAGAACGTTCAATTCGGGCGGCAGGTCGAAGTCGAGATTTTTAGGGCGAATGACGGACGTGGCTGGGGTCTCCGCTGCAAACAAGATCTCCACGAAGGCCAATTCATCGACACTTACCGCGGCGAAGTCATAACAGATGCCGAAGCCACGCGCCGCGAAACCTCGTCGTCAAAAGCAAAAGCCTCCTATCTGTACTCGCTCGACAAGTTCGCTGAGTCAGAGGGCCTCAAAGAAGAAGACCTCTACGTTGTGGACGGCGAGTTCATGGGCGGACCGACAAAATTCATCAACCACTCATGTGATCCTAATTGCCGGCAATACACCGTGTCATACAACAAGCACGACCCAAGAGTTTATGACATCGCGTTCTTCGCACGAAGGTTCATTCCAAAGGGCGAGGAATTGACGTTTGATTACCTTGATAAGGAAGAGGGGGAGGAGATGGATGAGCCGGGTGAGGGGGCGCTTCCTTGTCTTTGCGGGGCGAAGAATTGCCGCAAGTGGCTGTGGACGTGAGGATTGTGTCACATAAGCGCATGCGACATACTACAAAGTTTAGGCCGGCGTGTGAGAGAAGGGCGGATGCCTGCCAGACTGGAGAAGGGGTTATCTTCATGTGACGGCTGCATTGCTCTGCATCAGCGATGAGCGTTCTGGCGTCTGCATTGTCATTTTGTCAACTATGATACAGTTCCATATCCAATTCTCTTTTCAGAAGCCTTGTTTCGTGTCCAAAGTTGTCTCTGTCCATGCTGATGGGTAGGCGCAATCAATCGCGTACGCTTTTCGTCGTTCGTTTATCAGTGTCGTCCTGACAGAACTGACAGTTGCATCACTGACTTGCTTCCTGAACTACACCTATCGCACCGGCACACAGCTACATTCATCATGATCGCTTAGAATACAACCTAGGTCTAGGAAGAAGTGCTGCGGGCCGGTAAGTTACCCGGTAACACAGTTAGCGCTCGGACCACCACCCACGCTCTCACCGAGAACCATTCAGTCTCTTGACCCCCAACTGCAATTCTCCGCCCCATCTACTTTTTTATTTCTCTTCGTAATGAAGTCTAGCCTGCCTAACGAGGTAGACCGCGAGGATACGCCTGATCCGCCGGTGGTGGATTACCTTGACCGACTCCGAGATGACCTGTTGGAACGACTCCGTTGGGACGTTTTCGGCTCGTTGAACGACATCCAAGTCAAAGATCCTGGAAATGCTCTCACGCCCTTCATAGGCGCCAGCATCGCCTCAGAGTCCTTGGCAAGTCCCCCGTTCACCAAAATCTCGGTCTACATCGACGTCTGCGAGGAGAAACATAGCATGGACGAGCATGAGGAGGAAGACCGATACGCTGCCCCAGAGCCGCTGATCATCGACAAGGAGGATGGCTCTTCTATATCCTTACATGATTTTGTCTCGCAAGTCCACTCATACCTCAATGTCAATAAGGAAGAGATTTTGCAATGCGAAGACGAACTCTACATGAACCCGGTGGACTTGGGCGACGGTGTCAAAGCGGTGGAAATCGTCCCTGATGATGATGACAGGGACTGGGCAGATGGATCTGGAGAGGACCCGGAGTTCAGTCATTTCCTTCGAAGCGGCAACATCCCAGAAGGAAGTCGAGTCTTTTTCGATAGGGCTATGATCAACCAAATCGATCAGGAAGAATATAGTATTCACGTGGTTCTTTTCGTTGAGGGAGATAATGGAGAAACCCTAGATTTGTTTTGGGAAAGGAAAAACAGGCCGTAGCAGCTCACCAAGACCAAGCAGAGTTAGCGACAACAGCGACCGTTCCCTTTCCTGCCTAAGTCGATGCCCTGAATCGTGGCGCTAACGAGACAGGCCCAGCTTCGACATGGCGTCGCTCATCTCATCATCAAATGCACCAACGTGGCGCACTCGCAAAGAGACAGGCAGTCGAAGGCCCTATTCAGTGCGGACCAGGAAACCCTTGTCTTGACGGCTCCTGCTGTACGTATGCCCATTGTCATATATCCAAGAACTGTGCTAGCATGAACGTCCTTTCTAAGCAACTCTGATGGTATTTAGAATCCATTTCTCATCCTTGCTCGAGTCACAACTAATTCCGTCGCTCAAATTATAGGTAAATGTGGTTTCAAATCGAACAATTGTGGCGAGAAGTGTATCTCCAACTGCGATGCGAAAGCAATGTGTGGCATTTATTCAGCCGATGGACAGACTTCACGTGGCTTGAAATTATGTTGCTCTTTCTACGGCTGGTGTGGTACAGAAGATGTACATTGTAAAGATCCCGAGCCTCAGTATGGTAAGTACTACAAGACACATACTCGGCGCGTTGTTTGAAGCCACTGTTTATCAATTGTAGGTAAAACGCCTTGTCAGGCTGGCTTTGGCTCTTGTGACATCAAACCTTTCCCATCATGTGGGAACTACATTGATCATGATCGCCTAGAACACGGGATAGTGCATCGTACTACGATGTTCTGCCACTCATCAACTGACACGTATCAAGTCTCGAACGACTCTGACATCAAGTCTCCGAAAAAGTACCAGTGAGCCCCGCAGTGGTCTACCACACGCACCAAAGTCCTCGAGATTTAGCCTCGTGTCAGGCCAAGGGGGGATGCAGTACCTCACTTCAGCGGGTCAGGAACCAAAGTCTCGACTCGACTCAATGTGTGCGGTCTTCGCTTTTGGCCATGCCACCCCAGTGATCTGGCCGTGGAAATGCGCTTCGGTCGCGGAGTGGCTATCTTGGGCTCACATTCCAACGACATAGACCCTCGAACTGTGATTAACGAGGATGACAACGGCCACCAATCTCTCCTCAAAATATGAGTGGTATTAGCAAGCTCTGTAGGCCAAGTTGCGGTCACTAAGCCATGACATATGGAGAAGAAATAGTGTAGTTCATAGCATACGCCGTGAGGTACCTGGAGGCTCAGCCCACCCATCTGGAACTTGACCCTGATGATGGATCTAATCTTCACGCGACCGGCCCCGCGGCACCTGACAGTGTGGTTTCGGTACACGGCTACGTACCCGAGATCGCATTCGCTAACAAGTGGATTACAATTTCGTAAAGGGATCCGAAACAGTAAATTAGAAGCGCTGCGATTGGGCGACACCTTTGAATTGTGACTATCATGCAGTCGTCACATATAGCGCCGTGATCACCCGTCTTTGCGCTGACACGTAAGTATCGCGATATCTGGTACGAGAAAAAAGGAAATAGACATGTCTACACCGCAGCCGTCCAGGTATACGTCAGTCGAGCACGCGCTTCCCTATTAAATCCGCAGTTCATGAATTATCAGGGTCTCTCTACACACCACAAGTCCACTTTCAAGATTGCGCAACCAAAGCACTTCCTTAACAGTGACTCCGGTCTCACTGTGCCACCATAACCCCGCTGCTACACTCATATGCAAATGTTTGCAACCATTCTAGAAAAGCTACGGCTTATTCCCAACACAACGAACGAGGGAAAGACACAAGACGAAGAAGGCATACCATACGTCCAACTCAACGACGAATACGACACAACGCTCCGGTTGTCATGGACAAATGACCCAAAGAAACTGTACCTCTCTGCATGTTTCGACCCAAAGCGCGAGGCAAATGTTGCAAAAGACTACAACATTGAAGGTCTTTGTCCAGTGGTCAAAGAAACCAAAGGCGATGAATTCATACTACGGGACAACGACGGCCGGTATTATCTTTGGGACGCATGGGTTGGTGAGCTGATGAAGTTCCGGGATTGGTGGATCGAAGGCTTCACGACAAAAGAAGAGCTAGTGGAGAATCTCGTGTGCAACATGACAGAAGCGCAAGCGGACGTGGAATTCATCGAGCGGAAGCGTAGAGACAGTGTGGTAGACTAGTCTTGCCCTGCATCTTGTAGTCGACTTGAAGATCGGATTCGGGATGCATGCGAGGCGAGGCGGGGCGAGGTTGGGAGAAAGATGTAGTTTAAACTTTAAGCGACGTCGTCGGGAGCCAATGAAGAATGAGGACCCTGACCCACCATTTTTCGTGCCCCATTTTGCTGGTCCGTGACTCCGACGCAAAGGGACTACCACTGATAAAAGCGTCGACGCGGTGATCGTCGCCTGCCATGCCGATACCTGACTGAGACGCGTAGTACACGGAAGGGTTCTGCTAGCCTGGAATCTCTCTAATCAAGCAACAACATGCCTCAGTATCTCGTCAGGCTTGCGCAAGCGCATGAGAGTTTTCGCAAAGTCGAATTGCAAGCGCTAGCCGATATTGCTGGAGTGCCTTTACAGTTTGTCAAGTATGAAGAAGATGTAAGTACATTTTTGTTGCACCGAGCAGTCTTCCAGTCTCAACTTCATCAGTCGCGTCTCTCGCAGTGTTGTTTTGGTTCAGATCGCGAAAAAGCAATCCCAGTGTCGCGTCACGCCTTACAAAAGCATACATTTCTGACGATCAAAGTCACCCTACTGCATTGTCGATCTGCCGTCAGAGGTTGCGGCACGAAAAGCCATCGCACGGAGCATCCTCGCACAGGGCATCTACGAGCTATGGGGCCAAGGATCAACATACGACGCCCTTCACGACTCCGTCCGCAGTCTGACCACATCTTGGTGGCCGCAGTACATTAACGCATCTTTCCGCTTTACCATAGAAGGCTATCGCGGAAGTAGATCAAACGATGAGCAGCGCGACATCATCGACAGTTTCTCCTACATGGCCTTCAAGGGACCACCGCGGATGCGAAACCCAGATGTCGCGTTCCGTGTCTTCGAAGACTACGATCTTAATGTTAAGAAGCCGAAGTACATTTACTTTGGTCGCTTCATCGCCGACTCGTGTCGTAACGAAGCCAAGAAGACGTTTGACCTCAAGAAGAGACATTACATCAGCACTACATCGATGGACGCCGAGCTCACGCTGCTGACGGCTAATATCGCACACGTGGCACCGGGGAAGTTGTTTTACGACCCTTTCATGGGCACGGGCGGCTTCCCGATAGCATGCGCTCACTTCGGAGCAGTGGTGTTTGGGAGTGACATTGACGGTCGCACTATCCGCGGCCTAGGAGGCAGCGCAAGAAGGGGACAGACGGGGAAATACGACGTCGTCGGTAACTTCAAGCAGTACGACTTAGAGTCAAGCTACCTAGGCGCCTTCGTCTCCGACCTCACAAACACCCCACTGAGAATACCGCCACCCAGCAAAGACCGCACGACAGGCTACCTTGACGGCATCGTCTGCGACCCACCCTACGGCATCCGCGAAGGCCTCAAAGTGCTAGGATCCCGGCAAGCGCTGCTAGACATAGAACGCCAATCGCACCAAGACCAGTTCAAAGAACCCGGGTACATACCCCCGAAGCGGCCCTACTCCTTCACCGCACTGCTCGATGACATACTAGCCTTTGCAGTCGCAACACTAGTCCCCGACGGCCGAATCAGCATGTGGATGCCCACGGCGAATGACGAGGACATCGAGCTCATCATCCCGAGCCATCCTTGTCTCGAACTGACGTCGGTTTGCGTCCAGGCGTTTAACAAGTGGTCACGCAGGCTGCTGACGTATCGGCGGCGCAGGGAGGAGGAGGTGCCTGAGGGGGCGGCGGAGGCGGTGCGCAGGGAGTATGAGAAGGGGACTAGGGCTAGTGAGTTGAATGATTTTAGGAGGAAGTATTTTCAGGGGTTTAAAGAGTTTGAGAGTATGAAGAAGGAGTTTATAAGGATGAAGGTGGATGCTAGAGCTGGGGAGGAGACGCCTAAGGCTGGTGAAGAGATGACTAGTGTGGAGGAGGGGGGTGATACCAAAACGTAGTTACTGTGCTTCAGACCCATCTGAAGAAACCTCATCACGAACTATTCAAACCAGAACATGCCGACTCAATCATCACTGAGCTCCATATCACTCACTTCTTCTCACTCCCCTCCCCCGGATTTACCCTCGCCCTCCACCTCCCATCCTCCCCCTTCTCCAGTACAACCCTCTTCTCCGCCGCCATCAACGCCAGACTCCCCTTATTCTTCTCAAACCACACCTGCCCCTCCCTTGCTCTCGATATACAAAGCACATCTGTCTGTGCGACCATGGTGCCACCAGCAGCAAGAGCCAGTGCGCCAGCCGCTAGAACCGGACGCATGCTGGATGTTGCTATCTTGGCGCGGATGGGATTCTGGAGACGGTTGATGATGGGTGTCCCTGGAGGAGATGGGAAAGTAGGTGGCGGGGGTGGAGTTGATGGAGGAGGGGGATTTGGCCGTTTAAGTGGAGTACGGAGGAGTGGATCAGATAGCCAGAAGCGGTGTGTGATCCTGGGAAAACAGCCTGCCATGGACTTTGGGAGATGGGATAGAAGCGACATATTTCCGACTGCCTGGATGAAATGATTTCAGTAGGGAAGGACGAAGGCTACTCGGCGTTGGTGTGAGGTTGAGTTGGCACGTTGTTTGTCCCTACGTTTGACGAGCTGGGAAGAGAACGAACAATGGGAGACGGAAGTGTATGAGCGCTGTGTGATATTATGCGTGGTGTTGCGATGGCATCGTCTGCTGCTGCTGCTGTCACTTCACTGGTAGCTGCGCTGAAGTTGCTTTCACTGAGATGTACTGGAGCAAGATACGGCCGTGAAAGCTTAGCGTTCTTGCATGCTCCTCCAACTGTCTCCGTATAGCGTAGGAGAGGAAGACAAGACGACCTTGGGTATCGTCCGCGCAATGCTGCAACCAAACACGATTGTGAAAGCACATAGTTTTACAAAGTAGAGCAAGCAACGT